CCCCCCAACCCCCCCAACATCCCCAAAAGTTTCTCAGCGGATTTGGGCTGTACTCAACCAGCGCATTACAGCCCTGAACTCAGATTTGAAAAAAAAACATGGCGCTCTACAGACTGCTGACCAGTCCGCCTACGGGTCGGTGCGACTGGTAGGCGAGGCGACGACCTGCGGTAGCCGTCAGCTGGAGGCGGTCTGGCAACCCTGAGGATGAGAGGATTATGAGGGACCTTTGCAGTTCCCTTGACCTTCATGACACGTTCACAGAACGTATCTCAATAAGAAGAGTATTAGGAACATCTCTGTTTTAGCTTTCCTCTCTTCTGTCTCTCCAGCTGGCAGTGCTTGTGTCTATGGCGGTAGCATGGAGGTTCAAAGGACAACGCATTATGACTATGTCTCCCCACAAAGCCAGGTATTTCTCTTTCTTCCTCCTGCAGTCCCCACAGCCATGACGGTCTTTTTGTTCGTTGTCAGCTCCTCCTCCACCCTCCAAGCTCTGCCCACTTGAGCCCTTTTGGCAGAGCAGGAGCACTACTATCCATTGCACCAAATGATATGCTTTTTACATCCCAACCTCCAGTCCTTCAACCCCGGGTACTCTACTGGTGCACTTGGGCCTATGGGTTCCCTGCCTTTTGGTGGGAACATCATTTCAGACTGTAATCCTCCATACAAACCCTGTACCTAGACCTAAACTAGACCTGATACAATCTTGGTACTATCATTACCTGCCCGCGATCCTACGGGAGGAGCCCCTAGGGACTCTTGGAGTTTGCCGGAAAATCCCTACTTGGTCCCTAGCAAATTCGTCCCTTTTTTTTCCGTTTTCTTTTTCTTTTTCTTTAGACGTGTATGGCTTAGTCTTTGAGACAAGCATATGACTACTGGCAGGATCAACCAGGTAAAAGATCTGGACCATTTCTTGATTTATGCATGTCATCCTTGCGCAGCGGCCATGCTAATATCCTCTGTATCGTTCCAATTGTAACTGATGTCCTGGAGGACAGCAAATTCCACTTCTGCCCCTGGCCTCCATGGAATTTCTGGTGAGTCCTCTCATAGCTGAATATCGGCTCTGCCCCTGTGTCTACACCTATTTACTGATCTGCCCTACGAGGTACAGAAACACAGCACAGAAAATAGAGTTCGCACACCAAACACAGACTTGGACTCAGACTTCAGCAGACAAGCATACATGATGCACATTTACATCATCAGCAGGACACATCGAGTCAGAAAGCAGAGCAAAACAGCCTCGAACTCGGAAATCTCAGCACGCCAGACTGAAGGGGAGTGGCTTCTCAGAAAAGAGTAGATTTCTCAGACTGAAACTCTGTGGGTCAATTAGCTGGACTCCATTCAGCTCTTTGTATGGATTCAAACTCAAACCCAGGAACATACCAAGACATCAACCACACTCCACCAAAAGGCCCAAAACACTTCACAGCGCAACTGAATCAACATGAACATTCCAGTCTAGATCACATGTGCCCAGTCGATAACTAGTCTATAACAGAACATAGAACTTGTTTCATGTCTATAAACATAACTGGTTTCCAGTTACAGAAGTCTATATCTGTATATGTTTCACTTCGCCCATTTCTTGAGTCTCAACTCAAAGAGCTTGTGTTCCCCCCTCCTGCCAGGTTTACAGTGCAATTGACTTCTTCATCGGAAAGGCAAAAGGGCAAAGGAATTGATGGGGGCGACGGGGCCTGCATAGGTGGTGGATGTGATTCGATACAACCCAGAAAAAAATTAGCCTCCCTTGACATATGAAAGAAACTCTAGGCTTGTAAGAGTGGGACCTAGCTGCTTCCACTATATGCATCCGATTGAGTATGAGACTGCTATAGTGATGTTGTGTTTTATCAACTTTTATGATTTTTATCATTTTATGACCATTCTCTTGCATCGTTAGTGCCAGTCTTAACCCTTTTGTGTTATGGTGACTGTGCACGTGTGAATGATTGCTGTTTTAGGAAGGATGGTTCTCGACAATTAGTGCCGGTTTTGCATACTCAGCATGATGTCAACTTGGAAGCATACTTACTGGTTGCTCTGAATAGGTACCTGTGAGTTTCACAGACAAAGTCAGTGTGTATGCTGGTCAACAGCCAGCAATGCGCTCTTATTATTGTTGGTCTTATTTAATTACTGTTATTAATATTATCGTTCGGTGGTTGTGCGCAGGTGCAGGGCCGTCCACCAGAGAGAACAAAGGCCTGCCTTTTGGCCTTGGCCAACTGAACCGCAGCAAGAAAGAGAGCACCAGAGAATCACAGCGTGATGATGGGCTTGTCTTTGTGGCAGGTGCAACAGGACGTGTTGGGGTACGACTTGTCAGGTTTGCTTTGCTGCTCCTGCTCCATTGCATCACACTGCCAACCAAGAACGAAAACGCTGAAGATAACAAATGTTGAAGACAACAAATGTGAAAGAGCAACACATGGCTACTCGTTACATTTTGCAGAAAGTCTGGACATTGCAATGTGTTTGAACCATGGCATTTTTTAAATTTATTTTTTAAATGCTCTGATCTATTCGTGGGGAGCGACACATGCTGGGAACCGGGGCCTTACAAGAGTACATTTAACCGTGACATGTTAACATTGTCTTCGAGTGGAAATTCAACTTGTGGATGCCTACTGTGTTTCTGTCAAAAACCTTGCTCGGCAACAGCTGCCATATTAAACCACCAGTCCCTCCGAGCCTATTTTTCCCAACCCGGATTGCTCCTGCATGCGAAAGAAAACGAACCGATGTGGACAAAATATTTTCTTTTTGCCTAGCCTCGCCAGCCATTTTGGTCTGGTAGGCTGTTACATCTTCGAGTCACACGGGTCCTACCGGACCCGACTTAGGGCCGGAGGGACACACCAGGGCCTCAAGGCCCGACCTTTGAGGGTCACAGGCCCTAAAGGCCTGATTTTGCACTCAGCCCAGCGGGTAGGCCCAAACGACACTTTGTTTGGGCCTGGCAGCGCTCTTGAGGCTGCCACCCGCCGATGGAGGCTGAACCGTCCATCTGGACGGTCCAGGGTCTGGCCTGGCCTCGCAGCATTGAGGCCAGACCATGGCCTACCGGTACAAGTACCGGTACCTGCCTCAGTAGAGGCATCGACCTACCGGCACTATACCGGTACGGTATGGTCA